TATATATATATATATATATATAAGAAGATGGTCATTGTGCTAATTTTGTTGTCAAGTTAAATGTTGGACTGATTAGCATTTAAATATGAATATTATGGTGCTAATATGTATATATATACATTTGCATCATACACTCTCATCAATCTACCAACATCTTCAAGTTTCAACCACATTCTACCATTCACCTTAGCCTCAATAATCATTCTATGAGTAGCATTAAAGAGACAGAGGGTAGTTAACTAGAATGTTGAGATGCCCTTGCATGGATAAGCCACCATTGATGAGAGAGTTGAGTGAGGGAGGATTGAGAGAATTAAATGTTAATATTATAAAAACAATATTTTATAGAACAAATTAAGTCTCTTTTAATGAAGGCACATATGATTAGACATCTACATAAAATATACTCATATTGAGTTAAGAAAAAAAAATTATTTGACTTTCACCCTTCACAAAAGCAAAAACACCATTACCTTTCGATCTATATAAATGTTGAATCCAAATCAGAGACGGACTTAAGGAATAAACAACAATAGAGAAGAAAAGAGCAAAGAGAGCATGGTAATGAACAATTAAATTTTGTAAACATTATTCATGAAATGAACCCTCTATTTATAAGGGTTTGACCAGTTACACTTTATAACCTTAATAAAGTAGGGTCAGTAAAATTTATTTTGGGTAATATATAATTGTTGACCTCATTTTTGTTGAGGTATGTTTCCTTCTCTAGAGCCTAGAATCTAGCCACAAGACTTTTGTGTTGACCCTCCCTGAGGGCTAGTGTCTGAACCTACATAAATTAGAAAATTCAAGCTGCCTCTTAACTCTTTGTAGTCTCATATGTGTGGTTTCAAATCTTCATCGTTTAGTTGAGTCGATCGAAGCCAACATATGAAAACTCAGGTTGAGTTCCTATAGGGATTGAGGATGCCCTAAGAAGACCCTTTAGTTTTAGGAGCTTTCAATCTTTGACACACCATAATTCGCATAGTACATATAAACACCATATTTACATACATTACACACAATTTACACAACACACACAAACACCACAATTCATACACAATTCACTAACCAATGTCAAAATCTAATTTAAATAAAATGAAAGTCATCGCGACACGAAATTGAGACCATTAGACACAGATCGAGTGACTCGTTGCCGAGACAGTTCTGCTAGAGCTTGGTCGTCCCTCAGGCGAGAACTGCTCGCCATTTCGTTTGTTGGACGACTCCAATTGGATCGACGAATATTATCCGCTGATTTCAATTGGTTTGATTGTGGACAAATTTGTCCAGACGAACCCGGATGACGAAACAGACACACCTCGTACATTTCTCTTCATCATAAAGTACAGAAAGTTTTAAGGGATTAGAGAGAGAAACTCAATCTCTACAAAATCAAATTTGTTCATCATGAATACAAGTATGCGTCACTTTATTTTACATATGTAAAAATCATGAATTTAAAAGATCTTGGCTATTATATACTTTTTTTTTAAAAATTTGTATATAAAGTTGAAACATGAATTATCTAACATTTACATATCTAACACCTTAATTTCAGTTCTCTATTTGTATATGTGCAAGCTTATATCGAAGTTCTTGCCCAACTTGTTCATGAATTCTTTTCATACGCCCATTCTAAAAAATTCTTCACGAAATTGCTTTTAATCACAGGAAGGTTTTAATTTCAAAACTGAAGTAATCTATAGCTTTATTTATGAAAAAGGCATGTTTCACCATGATTTTTATGTGAAATATGTCTAGAATAATCATAGCTTTAAAATGCTACAATGTTTGGAGTTTTTATGGCTTATTGGTTCTTGTTGCATTACATTAAAGAGCCCTTGTAATTTGTTGAAGTTAACTTTCGGTTGCATGGAACATATGAATTTAACTAGTTAATGGGTTGATTCGATCGTTCTCTTTGTAAGCATGCCGAAACTAACTAACTATATGCTTTGCTTAACTGTGCTGAGCGCCGTGACTCTTTAATTGACAACTGTGTTGTCAGTCCTGAGTCCCCTAGGGTCACGATTTCAAACCCGCCTTAGTGCATCTGCCTTGCAATGCGAGATAGAGTGATTAGACACATTATGTTAGTCAGCAGCTCGTAACATAACCTCTAACAAATCTTTTTAATAAATATATATGTCTGGCTTAACTAATCCTATGATGATGAGAATGATAAAGAAAAAAAAAAAATATCTTTAATCTATCAATATGGTTATTCCTCAATCTTTTTTTTCTCATCCTACTTAAACATCTAATTACAAAAATAAATTTTCAAATATATAAAATATTAAAATAATAATATATAAAATTTATTGAAAATTATTTTAATCATAACAAAATGACCTTTTAATTGAGACTAGACCACTTCTTTAATTACCAAAAAAATTAATATGTTCACCAATATATATAAAAGAACAAACAAGCCTTTGCTAAGCCCATTCATTTATTTTATAAAGCCTCAAATTTTGCATCCAAGGCATGTTCGACAACCCAACAAAATGAGTCTTCTATACATGAGCATTCATTAAACATACTATTTTGCTTACATCTCTATTAAAAAAAATATCCAAAAAAATAAAAAATTAATTTCTCATATCTTTTTCTTCTCCAACATTTAAAAAATAAAATATTCCATTTTTTAATTTCTATAATCCTTTTCATTATGTATTAACCACTCATTTAATTCAACTAAACTTTATTTTTTTTACATTTATGCCCAAATCTTTCATATCTCATAAAAAATATCACAATTTAAGTCTTAGGGTCTGTTTAGGACAGCTGCAGCTTATTGAATAATCTGCTATACTAATAAGTTAAGGACAGCTGCAGCTTATTGAATAATCTGCTATACTGATAAGTTAAGTGCCGTGGCTATTACAAATTCTTTTTTTTTTTTTTTAAAAAAATCAGACAACTGCAAAAAAATTTTTTTTTTTTTGAAAAAATCAGACAACTGCAAAAAAGACTGCAAAAAAACTGTCACCGCGCCTAGATAGGGGCAGTGTGAAACGTATAAGCTGTCAAAATGCAATTTATCCAAACAGGTCAGGTTTGCTTTTAAAACGTCATCGCACCAAATAAGCTGCCCCAAACAGACCCTTAGAAAAAGTCATATGCATAGTTTCCTGAAAAAATGAAATACATATTCTCATGCATAGACAAGATGTCATATGCGTAAAAATTGAATTTTAAATGTTAAACGTGTAAATACATAGATTTCAAGTGCCGTTTACTTAAATCTCTCAACATCCAACACAGATACTTATAAAGACATAGAAACATTCCATCAAAAAAGCTAAATTAAAATTTATTTAATCACCCAAAATGTAAACTAATTAAATAGCGACAATATTTAATTAATGATAATAAATTAGGTCATGAGGGGTAGATCTGTAAAAGAGCCCTTCAACAGACCAGCGGCAATATGGTGATAAGCAGCTTCGGTGAGGTGAATGCCGTCCCAACTCACGTAGCTTGAGGGGTCGTTGCATGCATGGGAGCCAGGATGGCCACAGCGAGCGGTCACGTTGAAGTTGTATGGGCCCCCGCCCCCACAACATGTTTGTAGGGCACCCATCCCAAAACCTGAAATTTCATCGAATTATATTTATTTCTATCTTTTTGCATCAAAATTCGTGCGATTCATGATTTGTAATTATAGGGGTACAACATTTGGAGAAAAGAATTACATTACAGGAATTTGCATAATTACCACCCAATTCTTATATATATATATATATATATATATATATATATATCACTCTCTTCCGAGCGGGGGTTCAAATATTC